AAATGTCGATCAGTATGTTGCTTCTCCTACAGTGTGCTATTCTCAAAGAAATTTCAGCAGTGGCATTGAAATTTCAGTTGTTACAGATCCTACACGAGTAATCTTTTTTTTTAATTTATATTTTTTATTGTTGGTCACAAGTGACAAAATAATTAGATTTGTCACATAAGGGGACTCTGATTTATTGCAATTTATGATGAGGACTGATCAGGCATGATCACCTGCCAAACTGCATTCTGAACCAGTAAAATCCCTCCAGTGGCACCTACTGTTACATTTCATCATAACATACAGACACTGTATTGTCTACTTTGATTCCTTATGGCAGCAAATTAATGAGGGTCAGATGAAAGAGTTGAAGGAAGGATGGTAAACTGGGAAAAGGCAAATTGAAGAATTGCCTAATGCCTTATTTTATTTCCCCTCGCAACTTTTCAGCGAGTTGTCCATGAAGGACTGGGATGTGAAGGAAGAGGAAGGTCTGAGGGAAGTGGAGAATATCTTGGACAAGGCTGATGAAATATTAGAGGTGAGAGGGGGATCGTTTGAGAAATGAAGACAGTGCTGGTTGTTGTGACTTCTGGACAGAACGGATTCCCTTTCAGTCGATTCACTCGGTACAACGCGTAAGCATGGGATATCACGCCCTCGCGTGTCCAGTGTACCGAGTGAATCGACTGAAAGGGAACAGAAGTTATAGACATAACTATTCGTTTTTATTTTGCAGGAGGAGGAAAATGTTCTGGCTCAGGAAGCTGTGCTAGATGCACTGCTGAGGACGGAGGACAGGCAGGGTGTCTGGCAATTGTGTGATGGTGAGGACCAGCTTGATACGGTGGGTGAAGCATCAAGCAGATCAGTTCTTTGTTACAGATTCTATTAATTTTCGATATCGGGTTGTTTCAGTTACTCTATGCCTCTATGGCACGGAATAAGAGGTAAGTTACACAAGGCACAGGTCCAGGGATGTCTTTGGACTGTAAGAGGAAGATGGACAAAATGTGAAAATGATGTGTCTTTTATAAACTATTGGGGGAAACCTGGTCTTGTTAGGAGAGACAGGATTTATCCCACTTTGGGAGCAACTCTCCTTTCTGGGAAATCTGGCCAAATTTATTAAACGATCCAAACGGGAACCCAAGTTGCCGTCTTACACGCCTCTCTGCAGCGTCTCCTCTTCTGTCATTCCCACAGACCGTCTACATTCAGATGATCAAAACACACTTGTAGTTTGCTCTTTTTCAGAGGATCTTATTTAGTCCTTTGATATAAAAACCTAAAAAACAGTTTATTGAACAGTCATGCAAAAACAAAGGAGCACATAACGACACACAGAATAACGAGACAAAGCAACCCTAGGGTTTAGAGCCTTAAGCATATGCACACGTAGCAGAAAGCTAGAGGAAAAAGACAGAAAAAA